GCCGGCGGTGGCGCGCGCTGAGACGCGCCCCCGGTGCTTTCCCTCCAGCCGTTGTGCTTCTCATAGGCGGCACTGAAGTGGGCCTCTCCCATTTCCCGCTCTTTGCCTGCCTCTCGACGGAGTCCCACGTCGCCGGCTCTGTCCTGGGCTTCTGCTACGCTTCCACTTGGTAAGCCATGGGCACCTGAGACCCAGCCCCGCTCCCCGGCTACATGAGTGTGTGCTCATGTGCTGGCTGGCTCTGAGCCCGCTAACCACTGCGCCCTGCAGCGCACATGGGCTGGGCGGTTCCAGACTGGAACGCAGTGGGAGGGTGCCGGGGGCTTGGGGAGGCAGGGAGCCCAGCTCGCCACCCACCAGGGCTGCCGGGACGGCAGGGAGCCCAGTGGGGCAGCTGCAGGGAGGCCAGAAATGACCCGTCAGGTCCCCAGGGTGCCAGGCCAGGGAGGTCCAACCTGTGTCTGGAAGTTTGCCTCGCTCCCTCCAAAGAGGCATGGGGTGTTCTGATGACAAGATGGGGGCTGGGAATCCTGTGTCAGAGGCCCGGCCATGCACACCGAGCCCGGGTGTGTCGCACACCGAGCCCGGGTGTGTCGCACACCGAGCCCGGGTGTGCTGTAACGACAGCAGTCGGAGTCCAGTAACACGGCTGTTTTCCAGGCTCGCAGCCATGATGATCTACATTGCGCAGTGCCCACACGGACAAGTAAGTGTGTTTCTGTCTGAGGAGGGCTTCACGTTCCTCGTGTTGGTAATGGTGCCGGGGCACTGGCACAGCGGAGGTTTGGCTAGCGAGTCAGCTCCTCCGAGCCCCGGTTCCGTCCCGTGCCGAGGAAGAGCAGGGTGCACAACAGCCTTGCCTGGCTTCGGAGAGGCCAGCGAGAGGAGTGAGTGCCCCAGACGGGGGCCCTGAGAGAGAGCATGGCATTGCCCGTGGGAGGGGAGAGCCTTGCGCACAGACACCCAGGGCGGTGATCTCGGCCGTGGGGCGCTGCGGGTACAACTCTGCACCCAGACCCCAGCAGCCCCCGGCGATCCGCTCGGTGCCCGCCCGCCCGCCGATTCTGTGTCCGCACCGGGCTCGGCGCGC